CCTATATTTTAAAAATTATAACAGATAAAAAGAGACATGAAATAACAGAAATGTGGTTCTACGGATGATGCTGAGAATTCCATGGACCAAAAATGCGGGCAGAGGCGACATTTTAGAGAAAATGAAGCCAAATGGAGATTTATTGCTAACCTCAGAAAAGCGATAGCTGTCATTTCTACGACTCAAAATGATTAAAGGGGGCTTGGAAAATTTGATACTCACAGGACAGATTGAAAACAAGCTAAACAACGCGTAACCTACCTAGTTAGCTTGTGTAAATAGATGGCAGAACAGGCTCTAAGAGAGATAACAAAATGACACATTCTATAAACAGCAATTAAGGACAGCGAATTATTGATTGCACTGATCGCCAACGTCCTGAAGGGACATAGAAAAAGAAAATATGAATTTGATATCTTTTAATCCATTGCTGACGAACGGTGTATCTAAAGAATTTGAATTTCATCATCTGAAACGATGCCAAATTTTGGGACGATGGAATCATGAAGATGCTTTGGCGATAGCGAAAGGTCGTGAAATACAATGGTATAAACGTCGTTGAATAAATCTATCTGCATCTATATCAGCATTGTCTTTGAAATTCACTTAGGAACGTTACGATTTTCCGTCTTGACCCAACACATACGCGCACGCGCACATAGACATGCATACACACACACGTACACACACAGATATATATATATACTGAACTCTCTCATCGTTATCAATGTATCAGAGTCTTGTAGGCCTGTTCTCAGAACTAAACACCCATACTATATATATATATATATATATATATATATGATTTTCTTGTACAGAAGAGAATAAAGTCTACAAGGAAAATGAGCCATTACAGTAGATTTTAGAACGAGGTGGATACGTGTGTGTAGAGCCATATTCGTAAATATTATCTTAAAATTTATAAGAATCTTACCAAGCTACGGCGGTGAGGTATATATATATATATATATATATATATATATATATATATATATATATGTATGTATTTATGTATATATATATATATATATATATATATATATATATATATATATATTTCAAAATATAACATAAATATATTACAAAAATCACTACAAATCACTACACCAATCAGACAATTGTATATATATATATATATATATATATATATATACTGCACTCTCACATCGTTATCAGTGCATGAGCGTCTAGTAGGCCTGTTCTTAGAAATAAACACCCACACAATATATATATATATATATATATATATATATATATATATGATTTTCTCTTGTACAGAAGAAATTCCACCTCGAAATTGACCAATTACTGTAGATTTTAGGAAGTGTTTGATTACTTTATTCCAAGTGTGTATAGATCAATATCCGTAAATATTATCTTAAAAAGTTAGAAGAATCTTACCAAGTTACCGCAGCATATATATATATATATATATATATATATATATATATATATATATATATATATATATATATATATATATATGTGTGTGTGTGTGTGTGTGTGTCTGTGTCTGTGTCTGTGTCTGTGTGTTATTTTTAATTTATTTTTTTTTAAGCGTCATTTTTTATGGATCCTCATATTCGAGTAGAAGCTATGTTAAACATTATTTTTTTTATCCAACGACATCTACGGACCTTGAATATTCGAGAAAATTTGTCAGAGAAATATGCGTAGTTGGCCACGTTGCACTCTCGGTCAAAGAAAACCCGACTAGTGCCTTTTGAACACCACCCTTCCCTGCCGATTCTCGAAACATCCATAACTGCTCGCTATCGTATCCTAACTTTAAACAAGGACAATTCATTTTTTAGCAAATCTATTAAATCCGACATATTTTTTTTATTTTTGATTTATTTTGTTTAAACATTATTTCTGATGGATACTCATATTCAAGTAGAAGCCCTTTTTTCTTTTAATTAAACAGTATTTCTTTATCCAATTACGAGCCTGAATATTCACTAAATCTCATCAAAAAAACATTTTGAACAAGGAATCCGAAATCATGAACCGTTGCATGCACACACAAAATTCCTCTTAAGCTGATCTGGGGCTGTGTAAAAGTATGTGTATTTCAATTAACACCCCCACCGATACATTTATAATACCATTGATTTCTTCTCCTCCCTCATCTTCTTTATACCATTCTTTGCATCCGCCACCTTCTTTTCTATCACACCCAACATCGTGCGTTTGTTTATATATATATTTTAAAATAATATAGCATTCATTGTTTTTTTGTTTCTTTTTAATAAATCGTTGGGAGACCAATTGATAAAAATCGCCTGTGCATACTGTGAAGCTGAAATCAAAGTATCCGAATTAACTGATCTCCTAATTTTTAAAGTTCTACATGTTATTTTTATTTTTTTTCACATGTATTGAGCACTTTTAACACTAGCTTCCTGGTCCAGTTCAGTTATATATATATATATATATATATATATATATATATATATATATATATATATATATATATATATCACAAAGAAATAATGTTTTTTATATATCCCACACTCGTAAAAATATACAAGAAAAAGAAGTTGAAAATACATCTGGAGTCTTTAAGAATATTTATTTAGAGTAAGTTTTCTCGGTTTTCAAAAGGTCCATTTCCGATAGAGAAGCGTATGGCTATGCCGTGGTGAATTAAGAACCAAACGGCCAGACTACTGGCACATGTGATTTGATTATTGTGATGAAGGCTTGTGCAGAACAAATCACACTCTTCGGAAAAAGCCGAAGGAAAAGAACTGGTAAACTTGGAACACCACAAGGTCTCCAAATATCCTGCGTCCGGTTTTGAAATCAGAGTTTTTCTTCTCATAGACTGTTTGGCAAACAAGGCCCAGTCTTTCCTGTTATTCTCCCACTGCTGGGGGAGGGGGAGAAGAGATGGATTCATAGCTTTCTCAAGGGTGTTTGCGCATAAGCGAATGTAACGAACTCGACTAGAATTCGACCTCAGCTATCCGATTAACAATTCCAAGCCTCATTTATTTTTTATTTTTTTATTTATATTTATTTGTCTTTGTTGTTTTTTATAACAATGTCTTGTTCGGTTTGAAATGCTTCAATGAGATATAAGGTGTTTGAATCGAATTTTGGTTCATAATCTGGAAGATGTTCTAATCCAATAGTGCGTGACGTCTACAGCCCCCAAAGAGGCTTAACAGTATAGAATACCTTTATTATAAAGAAGAGATAGAAAACGTAAGCGAATACTTAATGTTTAATGATTATTCGAAATGAATGCTAAAAAGGATTGATTGTGAACGTTTATTATTAGGCATGAGTTTATTATTAGGCAAAAGTTTATTATTAGGCATGAGTTTATTATAACGCAAGAGTTTATTATTAGGCATGAGTTTATTATTAGGTATGTATTTATTATTCGGCAAGAGTTTATTATTAGGTATGAGTTTATTATTAGGCATCAGTTTATTATTAGGTATGAGTTTAAATAAATGGTAGCGCCCTGTTTGTTCAAAATTTAGTCCTTTGGTGGTGAAATTCGAACGAGCTCTCCTGGGTGCAGATCTGGGCTTGGCTATGGATGGGTGCATGCGCTGTCCAGATAACGACAAGATCCAAAGGAGTACAGGGCATTACATTTGGGGACTGCTTGGCTGCAGGAACTGGCGGAAAATGGTTGACAGCCAACCGCCTTCGGGGCTACAACCGGCTTTATTAATTACCAGAAATTATATGAGTTGGAATCCTTAATATTAACTTACAGTAACTTAGTTTAATTTGGTACGGTTAAATATCGACACCCTTCCCTCGCTAGGCCGGACGAAAATGGTGCCAAAATAATAAATTACATTTCTTCATTCATAGGCCTGTATGCCGCTAAGTATTTCAATTTTTTTCTTAAGAAAAGGATTATATTTCCCAAGTCTTTGTATTTATTCCAATTGCTAGGAAAATATATTATACCATTTGGTCTATAGCTTTATCACATAAGGTTATTTGCCTCACCATCCCACGAGGCAGGATGTGGCACCAGGCCTTTTTTAATGCGGGGTAAAACCGATCCCATAGACTCTGGTAAAAATTCCCTGTAGATCCTGCAAAAACGGGGTCGGGTAGCTGTCTACCACCCCAGACGAGGCTATGCTGAAGAGCAGAGCCTCGTCTGGGTTCCTCTCCGCTGAAGGCAGAGAGTTCGACTAGTTTAGCTGGAGACGAATCTCCAATTGCCGAAGTAAGTCCAAGCTTTATCACATATGAACAATAAAATGTTGGTTCCCATCTTTATATCTGTCATATAGGACATAAATAAATGAAATCGTCCGTTTGTGGTGAGGAGAATTATCGTTAGGCCAATTGCTATTTCTACCTTTGTGTAGTATTTCATTACTTACGAGTTTGTCTTCTTTATTTATTTGCTTTTGTTATCTCGAAAACACGAGATACAACCATAGGCCATTCTCGGTCTCATCTGTCTTTTTTGTTTCGAATTCAGAAAGCTGTGATCGCTTATTTGTATCCCCTTTTTCGTTTACACCGTTTATAGTTTGTCCACTTTTTCCTTTTCCATAAAGTCAAAATGGCAGCCGATGTCTAAAACGACCCCAAGTCCGATGTTAAGTGGAGCAAAAGATGGCTTGTTAATTTTAACGCCTTCAAAAATAAACTTCTCTCCATTAATCATATCTGTTTTCCATCAGCATGGCTGATGCTAACCTCCAGGAAAGTAACCCATTGCGCCGTTTCAGTCTAACATTCTCAGCTGAAATGAACTGGAAAGACTATATTTAAGAGATTGCTAGGTCAGCTGCTAAGAAAGTTGGTTCAATGTGTCGTACGAGACAATTTTTCTCTCTAGAATATATCATACATATCTATAAGTCTGTCATTCGAATATGCTTTGAATATTGTTGCCACATATAGTCCAGTGCTCTTGTTATTTATAGTGAGCTCCTTGATAAAGTCTAAAGAAGAATCTGCAAATGTATAGACGAAACATACAGATGCATGGTGGAATTTCTTCATAACTAATAAGATAGATAGATAGATAGATAGATAGATAGATAGATAGATAGATAGATGGTATTTATCAATCCACCCACGGGGATCGAATGTGGCACAACGCCTTTTTAATGTGGGTATCTCTGAGCCCGTAGGCCCAGCCAAAAATAAATAACCATCCAAACCCGCCGAGGCGGGCCAGTTCCGTCAACCTCCCCCAACGAAACCCGACCCTTCGGCGGAGCTTCGTCCGGGTTCCTCTCTACAAGCAGAGAGTTCGACAGACACCCGACCCGGCAGCTCACAAAGCGCAGATACTACACTTTGATCCTATCCACCGGGCCGAGCGGGTATTCTTTTTATAGATAGATAGATAGAAAAAATAGATAGATAGATAGATAGATAGATAGATAGATAGATAGATAGATAAAGAACAGACAATAATAGTGTTATATAGGACAAAATTGAATGGAATCGACCGTTTATGTAAATAAGCGGACTTAAGGCGGAATTGAGCAGAGTTAGCATTACCGCTTAGCCGCAAGCTAAGCTTTTAGTGCTTGTCGTACACTTTGCTTTGAGGCAGAGAGGAAATCTAGACGAGATTACGACGAAGGGCAGAGTCTCGTATGGGGAGGTAGACAAACCTGACCCCGTTTATACAAGACCTATGGAGAAATTTTGCCCTGGTCTACGGTCTCGGAAAACCCACATGCCATATCCCGCTTTCTAGGGAGCTCGTGTAAATACCGACTGAGTATTAGGTCTTAGTCGCACGCTAGGCACTTATTGCTTGTCGAACTCTCTGACTTTAAACAGAGAGCAACCCAGACGACGCTATGCTCAACTGGGGAGGTTGACAAACCTGATCCCGGTTATACAGAGTCTAAGGCGAATTTTTGCCTGAGCCTACTGGCCGCATACTACCTTGTGGGGAGGTTAGATAAATACAGAGTTAGCATTATGTCATATTGGAGGATTGAATGCTCAATGATGATGGACGTGTTCTTGTGGTGGATGTGCAAATTGTAACCAATGAATGGGCCGTGAATTAGATTAGCTTGGTATAAAATATATAGTGACAAACAGGCTTGACCAATTCCCCCTTTTTGACCTTGTGCCACAATTGCTTTATTTTCGAGCAATAAATCTCGAGTTCGCGTTAGGTAATTCTACTTGTCGACTATCTGCAAACGGACATAGAGGAACCCAGACGAGGCTATGCCGAAGGACATAGTATGGTCTGGGAAGGTAGGTTATTATAGGGTCTACGGGGAATTTTTACCCGAATCTATGGGCTCGGAACGCCCATGTAAAAACCCGGCCTATTGCCACATCCCTCCTTGTGGGGAGGACTTGGGTAAATACCAAGTTAGCATTAGGTCATATTCAAGAATTTTTATGTCATGGGGTGTTTTGTAGATTCCTTGTATGTGTGCGGTATTTTGGTAAATGGAGGGTTGAATGATGAGGGACAAGATTTTGTAGTGGTGTGCTAATTGTAACGAATAAATGGGCCGTGAATCGGATTAGCTAGATAGTGTAGTAAACCTTCTACTTCACTACTTACCTACGAGTTTCTCTTTCTTATTTATTTCCCTTAGTTATCTCGAAAATACGAGATACAACAATATCCATTTGAACATTCAAAAATATTTATGTTATAAAATCATTACAAAAATATATATGATTTTATAACATATTTATGTTATAATTTTTAAATAAATAATTATATCTGCTCTACTCTGTATTGAGCACTCTTTTAAGAATTTGTCGGTTATTGGAATTCATTCCGTATATACCAATCATTAATTGTATATATAATATATATATATATATATATATATATATATATATATATATTAACTTTATCACAAACTTTCATGAGCTTCCGATCTATAGTTATGATTAATTAATGATGAACATGTCATTTTCGTTTATGATCGATTTCATCACGACTCTTCTGTTAAGCTTGGAGACAAATTATATATTCTTATTGCTCAAAGTAGAGTCCAGTAGTGTTATAAAAACCTCGGAGCATTCCAGTAAGATTTCTTTAATCATTTCTAAGATACAAATCTTAGAAACGAAAATTTTTTTCTGTTACAGTATTTGGACAATTTTGCTGTTACAGGATTTGCACAATTTTGTTGTTACACCCGAAAAATTTATACATTTATATTTTCATTTTCCCTAATACTTCAGTCCATGGTATTGCATAACACTTCAGTGCCTTTCTCTTTGTTTCTAATGAAAATTTCGCTCACCCACTACGGCCTCGCTTTCGCAATTCGATGTCGCCTTTTCCACTCTATATTAAAACACTTCCTAGTTTAGCTCAAGTTGCTAAAGTAACATTCATATGCCCGTGCGGGCACCTGCAACACAGATTGTACAGACGTGCTTATTCAAAAACGAGCGACCATCCATTATGTGTAGGTGTGTGTGCATGTGGGTATATATATATATATATATATATATATATATATATATATATATATATATATATATATATATATATATGCGTCTGCATGCGCATACGTATATATCTATAGGTATAGTTAATGACACTAAGAAATACGGAAGGATATTGATCTTTTTTTTTTTGCCAAAGCCTCCAGACAGTGAAAGGACAGGCGCAAGAATTCATTTGATTTTATGTTTTTTATCCAGCAACATTTGACGTTCAGAGTCTTTGATATGTTCCAGATTCCACTTCATTTATTTACTGTTATTTTTTTAACAATTCCCTGTAATTATATATACGCTCTATATCACACTGTATATGTTATAGACAAACTATAAACGTGAAGTGCCTCCAAGGTATCTCTTTGTACTGGTGGAGTAGCTTAGAGCATAAAAAAAAAATAAGTTAAAAAGATGAAAGAAATAACAATAAAAAAAACACTTGGCATTCAAGTATATTTATGGAGAGCCTTTGATGTTGACACTTTTAAAAAAAAGTCCTTATCGATGTCGAAGTTCTTGATGTCATCATTATACGCGGCACATAAACAAATTGAAAAATATGTTCTTTAAAAAAAATGCTATTCTAATACAGTAGTTTTAAAATAATTTGTTTGTCTATTTCCTTTTAATATCATTAAATAATCCTATAAAACAGGTCATTTATTATTCCCTAGCTTCTTGTAACTTAGGATAATATTTTATTGGAAGAAAGGTCCATCACCGTGCAAATTTAGATGTCTTGTTTTACGCCATAATGGTCACATGACAGTATCCCAGCACTCGATTAGGTATATTTACATAGTTTCCCAATAAGGCAAGATGTGACACAAGGTCATTTTTACGTGAGCTCATACTACCATTTGAGATGATTTTAAATCAATAAAAAATAATTATAATAATGCAGAAAATGGCATAGTTTGAGTTAGAAATACATTCTTTAAATAAACTTTTAGTATTCTTTCCAAAAGGCTCAAGAACACTTCAAGTCAAGGATATACCAAATGAAGTGTATATGTAAGAGTAAGAAGTAATGATTATGAGGACATGGAGGATAGATAACGATTGATTTTTAATTTAAAGAGGCTAAGACTCTGTGTTCGGAAAAAGCGTGCACGCGAATGTCTATGCCACAAGGCAGCCGTTCCTAAAAAAAATCGAAATTCTTTTCCTCCTTAACAATGGAATACGGGGAAAATGAGGATGATTCAACTTCCTTGGCGTAACACAGTGGCTCTTCGCTGTAAAGTAATACCAAGTGATTTACGTTTAATTTTGCGTAAAAAGATGCATCAGTCCGGAAAATATGTCAAGCCTACCTGGCACACACCAACAAAAAAAAATGGCCGAAAAAACGATTTGAAATATGTCATGGCTTGAATCTGTAAATTGGGCAGCTTCAGCTCAGGTATGCCACTGCTTGGTCTCACGCTGTCCGCTGACCTGAGATGGAACAAATACATTGAATCAATAGCTTCATCTACCGCAAGGAAAGTTGGTTCTCTGTGTCGCGCCAGAAAGTTTTCCTTGTCGGAGTCCATCCTTCAAATCTATAAATCAACCATTCGCTCTTGCATTGAATATTGCTGTCATATATGGTCTGAAGTCCTCGCTGTCCGTCTTAGGGTCCTCGACAAAATCCAGAGACGGATAATCAACCTAGTTGGCCCTTATCTGGCATTCGTTTAAAGTCGCTCTCTCCCAGGCGTGCCTTTGCTTCTCTTTGTCTTTTCTATAAATACTTTCACGGTAACTGCTCCGACGAGCAGTATTCACTAGTTCCCAAATTGCATGAATTTAAACGTGCTACTAGGTCGGCATCTCGGCCCCACCTTTTCACTGTCGAAACGATTAAATATAGCCGTAAATTCTACTCCAATAGCTTCATGTCTCGTAACTCCTGTCTGTAGAATTCCCTTCCTATTACTTGTTTCCCTCATCTCCAACTATTCAAATATAATATAAATCGACATCTCTAGATGCCTTTATCTATTCCCTATCCTTCTCTTCATCCTTTCCTCTATCACGCCTCTTTACTCTTGCTCTAACTTTCTGGAAAGACTAGCGTGCTAGTGGCACTCCCGCATTGCTTGAGGTGAAAAGTAAAAAAAAAAAAATCGGTCTAATCTGACTCGTGAAAAATATGAAACATAGTCTCGCATCACACATTCAATCAATATTTTCACCACCGTAATATAGATTTCTGATGCTTTTCTATAAATAATTTCATCGTAATTGTTCTGATGTACTTCCCATCATATATATATATATATATATATATATATATATATATATATATATATATATAAGTGAACATTGAATTCAACACTCAGAGGCGACAGGCTGTTTTGGGGGTAGGCGCAATCTTCAGGCCGCCTGACGATTGTGCCGAGCATGAAACAGCCTGTCGCGTCTGAGTGTTGAATTCAAAGTTCACTTTTTATATTTATATTTACACACGCACTATCTCTGATATTGAGCACCTTTATCCCATAAATATACCACAACTTAAAACTATATTTCTGTTATATATATGTGTGTGTATGTGTGTGTATGTATATATTATTATATATTTTACATATATATATATTAATATATATAATATATACATATATATATATATATATATATATATATATATATATATATATATTATAATTATTTAAAAAAATGATTCCTTCGCTACATAAGAGTTCTCATGTTTCAAAAACAAGAGCCAAAAACCTCAATTTTAATTATTAAATTGAATTAAAGTATCAAGTCCTGTTTCATCCGTGTTATGGTCCGGTTCCTTGTACCACGTTGATAGTCCAAGGTAGAACCAATAAAGAAGAACTTGAACACGGGTATGGAATAACACAGATATATTACAAACAGGAATATACACAGAGAAGAATAAAGTGTTAGTACGAACAATCGGGTTTAGTAGTATTTGTCTGAACGCGACTCTGTTTCGGACTGACTCGTTCGCTCGCTCTGACGGACTTCACTTCAGACTTCTGTCGGAACTCTGACTTCAGACTGAACTCCCTG